AAGATACTTTGTTAAGGTTGTTTAAGTAATATATGAATGTTGATGAGAATCTTGAGTTTATTCATTGTGTTGGAACTAGTATAAATGAAGACGTTTATGTTGATTAAATGGTGGTAGATGATGATATGTTAGATGACTTCACTTTTCCATTCAAAAAATTATTTAAAGGAAGAAGACGATGTCTAAAGAAAAAATGAGCTTAAGAGGTATTTGGGTGATGATTGTAAGGATCCTAATGATTTTAAATTAGATATTTTGAGTTGGTGGAGGTGTAATGCTACAAAATATAAGATTCTTTCTAAGGTGGCACAACACATGTTATCTATCCCAGTATCTATAATTGTTTTTAAAATAGTCTTCAGTATTGGCGATCATTTATTAGATCTATTTTGAAGCTCTTAATCTCTATTGACAATATAATCACTTGTTTGTTGTTTGAATTGGTTGAGTTTAGCACTAATTCCAATCAACATCAGAACCTTCATGGATTATATTGAAAATTCTGAGATGATTGAGTTAGGTAATTTCTTTTACAAATTTAAATGTAATTATTTTATAATATAATTTATTTATATATGTTTAATCTAACATTTTAATTTATGTTTTTGTAGAATTTGGTGAAAGTTTAAAAATCTCAACAGATTATTTAGAAGTTGTATTAATGATATTGATGCAATCCTGGAATATAATTATTTTGAGTAATTAATTCACTTTATCTTGTTAATTCCCTTTAAAATTTTACATTCTTAATTCTTTTAATTGTCAAACTCTAATATATTGCTAATTTGCTATTGTTTCTTTATAGCATTATTCTTGATGTATCTCTTGGCTTTTGTTGTTGCTGGAAGTTTTGGATGTTGTTGTAGTGCTGATACTGAATTTTTTTCTTCAAATTATGATAGATGTTTATGATAATTTAATATTGGTTCCTAATGTATCTGTTTGCTATTGTAAATTTTTTTATTGTGAACCAAGGTTGAACATTTTTGGTTAATTTTGGTTTTGGACCAAAATAAACCAAACTAAAATTATTTTTTAAAAGTTTTTGAACCAAACTAAAAACTGGTTGAAACTGATTAATTTTGGTTCAGTTGATTTTTTTCTTTTCAAACCAGTTCAAACCAAAATTATTTCAGTTGAGTGTTTTCTAGACTTTCAAACTGAATTAAAGCATTTTTAACATGAAAATTTTATCATTGTGTTTAGCCTTATAGATATTATTAATTCATGTCATCATAACTATGATAAATAATAGATTAACTGGCCTTAATAGGTTTAGTAATATGCCTTAGAAAACAAATGACATGTAGTTGGAACGAGAAAATGTGTTGACAAATTAAGTGAAAAACCATGATCAGACTAAAGAGATAATGAAACTAAACACCGTAGAAAATGATATGCTCTTCAATATAAAAGGGTGATTAATAAAGCACAGTCCTTAATTAAGAAAGAATTTTTAAAAAAATCATTATGTAATAAACCCCAAATCTAAATCACCAAAAGCTACATTATCATCCATAAATATGAGTCAACTAAAAAGAAGAAGAAGAAGAAGAACAAACCCATACAACAAAAGTGGAATACTCATGGAAATTTGACAATAATTAATGAAATTCAAGAAACTTAGAAGAATCCATTAACCGTCCTTTAGAGAAGAGGGAGAGACCCAAATTGGCACATGACTGAGAATGCATGGAGGAGGAGAAGATAGATTTAATAGATGAGAGATGGAGAGCAAGGAGAGGGGGCGGTAAACAATGCATTTAAGTCTAGGGTTAGAAGAAAATATGTTATTTATGCTTGTTTTTTTTTTCAAGTTCTAGCCTAGTTGAACCGAGCTGGTTTGATTCGGTTCAATTAGTTTTAGACTTTAGAAACTGAAACCTAACCAAATTGGAAATGTTTTGTGATTTTCTAATTGGTTAATTCAATTTTTTTTTAATTGTTTTCTGGTTTTCTTGATTTAATCGGTTATTTGATTTTTTTTCTCACCCCTAGTGTGAACACCTCATTTAATTTGATGGGCTCAAATTTGATCATGCATCTTGCATCTTACATTGATTTGAATTTTTATAACCTATTTCTTTGCATATTAAATATAGCAAGATGTGAAGCATTTCAAATTTGTTGTTACTATACTGATATATATTTAAGGTTAATAAAAAAAGTTAAATTAAAAACAAAAATATTAATCTCCTAATTTCATAAAAAAGCTTATAACAAACTAAACCAAATTAGAAAATTTTAAAGAGTTTTGATTAAAAAGCCAATGAACTTAGTACAACAAGAAATTTTAAAAGTTCAATTTAATGTAAGCCTATTTAAAAACATTCAAAAAAGCCTATTAATGGTATTATTAGATTTTTTGGTTTTATAGCAAAAAAACCAAATTTAACCATACCAAACAAGTTTAGTTTGAACTAGAATTCAATTCGATTTAAATGTTAAAAAATTTAAGATACTTAGTTCGGTTGGTTTTTATAGTTCAAATCGAATCAAACTAAACTGAACCGAACCATTAACATGCCTAGTTTGCAATATATCTCCTAATATTCCAACAATGCCATCTTAGTTTAGATACACTTCGAAATAAGGTATTTAAATCAAATAATATAAATCTAAGCTCTAGATTTGAGAGAAAAACTAAAGCATAAAAGAGATAGAAAACACTAAAAATAAGATGAGAAAGAGTGCGAAACAAATCT